TATATCAAGTTCCAGGCCAGCAAGGCACGTGTGCACATACACACACACACACACACACACACACACACACACACACACACACAAAACAAATAAGCCAGAACCCTGACCCTCTCCAGGTACTGCCTCTCCTGGCCCTAGGTGACAGAGTCACAAATGGCCCATTCAAGGCCACAGCTGCTACCATGGACTGGGTAGATGTACTTCAGCTGACAGGGCCTCCCTTGGCTGGCAGGGGCCAGAGGTGGGCCAGTGGGTAAGTCTGAAAACGTCTCTCCAGCTTCTCAGAGCAAAATACACGGAGCTGCTGCTCACAAGCTGCATGTGATAATCTCAGGAAACTCGAGGCTCCCAGGAGCTTAAGCAACCTGTGTTGGTCTCTCAGGAATGTCTGCTGGCACATTAGCTGGTATGTGGCCAAGGCAGGGATGAACTGGGCCTGCCAAACACGGATGTCTGTCTTCTTCTGTGCACCTGTGACAGCAAGGTGACAGCTGCAGATCCCTAAGTGCCCGGCCCGTGATGGGCTGCTCTTCCATTTTTAGAGGGGTCCCTGTATAAGGCTCCAGGTCTTTTCTTTTGGTGAGAATTTGATTTTAGGGGCTGAGGGGTGGTCCAGGAGTGACTGAGCCCGGTAGTGAGACATGGGAACCACCTGAGGCTTGGGTTTACAAAGTCCTGGCTCCTGCCTGTGACTCCATTCCATGACAGGGTCCCAGAAACTCAAAACCCAGACCTGGTCTATTTTCAGGCCCTAATATAGGTGACACATTTACCATTGCTTGGTCTCAAATCTGCTTGGAACTGGAAGGTGGTGTTTTAATCCCAACAAGGCTTCTCCCCTGGCGATTTGCAGAAAGTCAAAGCCTTTGCAGGGTTTGCTGTTAAAGAGTTTGGTAAATGGCTGTGGTCATCTGAACTCTAACTCCTTTTCAGAAACATGTTTCAGCATCTGTGCAAGGCTACGTGGCTCTCTGTTGTCTCCTTGGTCCTGGGCCACATGTATCTGGATTCGGATGTGCAGTGTTGTTCACAGAATGCTCCCTGTAGGGCCTTTCTAGCAAGTACTTTCATTTCTTTGAGATGGAAAGTTGATGGTTTATACTTCCCCAATGGCTAACTGACAAAAGGCTGAAGCAGGTCAGCTTTGACTCAGTTTCTTCAGAGAGGGCAGCAAAGGGTCCCTTACAAGGTTCAAATCTGGCCTCTGTCATCAGTAGCTTGACTTTTGAAAAAGTTAAAAACTTTTGTGAACCAGTCTCATTTGTGAAGGGAACATAGACTTCTCTCTTCGTAGCACCCTTCAGCACAGGTGAGCTGTCATCAGCCTTGGTACTGTACCTGCTACAAGGGAAGGCAGGGCTGGAGCGAGGACTGTGCTCTCCTTCACAGCAAAGATGACTCTGGTGGTCTTTGGGTACCACATTCTAACCCAGCTGCCTTCATGAGCTCAATCTGCACAGGCCTTTAGAATGAGTCACCAGCCTTTCTGAGCCCACAAGCATCACTTACCTGTCCCCTGCCTGGTCCCTTAGCTTTGCAGGGAGAACACAAAGCTGTTTGTACTCACAGGCCTGGCATCGTCTTGCCACAAAGGGAATGTATCATGCAGGAACTCAGTAGACTGAAGTGGGTGTTCCTCTGATTCCATCCTCATCTAGGCTGTGGCCATTGAGGCCAGGCTGAGTTATCAGTCGAATCTACGGAAGCTGACATGTGCTTAGCACAATATGGACAACACATGTGAGCCTACGAGAACCCAGTGTTGCAAGACTCGGGAGAATAGATTTGCATTGTGGAGAAAGAATCTAGTGGGAAGGGACAAAATAGAAGAGGCTAAAGGACCCCAATTAGCGTCACCATTCCACTCTTTACTCTGGGAGTTCAGACACACTTGCAAATGGAGGACTTTGGGCACAGGGTTAGCGCCGAGGAGAAAAGGCAAGGGCAGGGAGAGGGGGACACTACTGCTGAGGCCCCAGGCCTAGGGTTTGCACTGCCGCCTGTCATACCGTGAGGCCTGGAGCAGGTCACTCTAGCTCTGTGCCGAAGACTGAACACGTGAAGGAATGTGGGCTGTCTATACTAAGTGCTCAGGGTGTAAGGGCGTAACCCAAGTAAGCCTCGAGTTTCTAGACCTCCAGATGAGGCGGCTGTCAGGGTCAGTACAAGATGAGAAGCTGGTGCTCCCTGCCCCTGCATTGTGCAGGTCACTGTTCCCCTCTTCCAGAAAGATGCTGATGTTCACAGCCTTCCTTGCTTAAGCAGCTTTCTTTCCCTGGGTGCAGTGTTTGGCTTCGTGAATAGACGCAAACGTGCTGGCTTCTGTGAAAGGAAACCGAGTGCCCTATCTTCCATGACGAGGCCTCACTCTGCTTCTTCCAGTTTCCTGACTGAGCTGTGTAATGATGGAAACGAGAACAGCCCCAGAGCCAGAACTTGTATGGACTCCTGCGTTGGGACTCTGCTGCACTCATGCATGGCTCTCCCTAAGCCTCATTTCCAGGTTTCTCGGGCTCACAGAAGGCACAGTAGATGGTGTTTGGTCTATCCTGCTTTTTAGCTGCATCAGGAGTGACAGCCACCCAAGACACAAAGGCACTGCACTCATGTAAGTGCCCAGCCAGCCCATACCATGGAATCTTGGTCTAGAAACAGGGAGAGTTGGGACAGTGAAGGTGTGTTGTGTTCTCTGGGCCTGATATGGCTGTCGGCCTCTTGAACTTTCAGCAGCTGTGATTACTGGCAAGGATATCCACACAAGACTGGGCCCACTGACATCTATCATGGAGGAGGAGCTCAAGAGGATACAAGAGGTTTGTGTTCTTAGGTGGTATAGCAGCTAGAAGCTGCCCATGCTCCTGTAAGTGACCCCAATTAAATGCACTGATTCACCAACCTAGACTTGGCCAAAAATTTGGTCTGTGGTTGGTGCCATATCTAGGGTAAACAGATGTTTGTCTTCCTAGGAAAAGTTCACACAACAAGGAAAAGGGGAGGGAACTTGGTAGGTCGCCATGTAGTTACGTATCCAGAGTGAGCTGTGACACTGGTGACTTGTGTTATCCATCTCTCCCACAAAAGCAAATGCTTGAGACTTTCTACTCAAGAGTAGTGGACAACTCACAAAATGGCCTGATTTCAGATACTTGGGATCAACTGAGAATGTTTATTTAAAAGCAATTTTAAATAGTAAAAAAGTAGAAATTAACACATACAGTACTGAAAAACGGTCACATTAAATACACGTGAAATGAAAGGTGTACTGATGTTTGGTGGTAGCGGCCAGCTAGGAACGTGGAGTTTGATTGGTGGTATTACAGGCTCCTATACAACACGCAGAAGTTCTGGGCAATAAAAAAATAAATATTTGCTGTTCAACAGTAAAATAAAGTCACTATTTGCAGAACATAATTTTCTCTTCTAGGGGAAAAAAAAACCTAATTTGCTATTTTTTTCTTAAGGCTCCATACCTTCATAATACTGTACTGTGTACAAAATTGGAGAGAGTGGCTCACCAAGGTTAAGAACAAAATCAGATTTAAACTCAACAGGATTGCCAAAGGGATTTCTAGCTAGTTTTCCTGTGTCCCACAGAAATCAAAATCCCGAGACAAAAACAAAACCAGAGAAAAAGGTGTGCACATCGCATTTGTGGGAGTTGCTCCAACAGGGGAGAAGGAGACACACGGACCCCCTGCCCCTGAAGACAAAGCTCCTCGTTGGTAAAACCAGCCTATTGTCAGCTGAAGAGCCCAAACCTTCACATTTACTTGCAACTTAAAATTTGTGAGTGAACTGGGACACTGGCAACCTAAGATAGTGCTGTGAGACCATGTGGCCTAGACATCAAGGCTGCTGCTGCAGGCACACAGCACGCTGACGGGGACCTTTGCTCTCAGTTGGTGTGTGGACACACAGGTGCCTAGACACCGAGGAAGTGATTGCCTAAAATTAGTTTTCAATAACAGCTAATGCAGCATTTTGCAGGTTGTCATGCAACCTCTATTTCTTAGGTGGCTATTCAAAGTTTTCACAGTGGCCACTCAAGCAGAAGCAAGCACTGTGATTATGTGAGGGGCTTTGCCTACTGGTACCCTTGGGAACGGCGCTTCTGTGACATGAACATACCTCATTCATGCAGAGATTATCTGCTTAAAAAAATTAGTCTTCTGTGCTGTGGCCAAAACCCCAGCATATTAAGCAAATGTAACTCCAGGATGACCTATAAGCCTTGGAATCAGAATACTGCGTTCTTCCCCAAATTCAGACTGATGGAAGTTGGAAACAGTGTTTTGGATGGTCTCACATGCATGGCTGGGATAAAACACACAAAGCAAACATGGTAGCAAACCAATGTGTGTGTGTGTGTGTGTGTGTGTGTGTGTGTGTGTGTGTGGCTTGCAGAAAGCTTTCTCACAGTGTAATTCATAGAAGTACCCAAACTTGGTTATGAATTGATTTGAGGGGCACATGTCTATTGGATAAAGTTTAAGGTGAGAAAACGAATCTGTAACTGGGGTTTAAAAAAGAGAATGGAAAAACAAAAGGCTTGGTTTCAGCCTCTGGATTCTACACTGGAAAAACTGCAAAGGGTTGACTAAGAGTTTTTTATCCTGAATAATCTTTTAAAAGTTTAATCAGAGAGAGGCTGGAAAGATGGCTCAGTGGTTAAGAGCACTGACTGCTCTTGCTGAGGACCCGGGTTCGATTCCCAGCACCCACATGGCAGGTAACAACCTCCCGTAACTCCAGTTCCCTCTTTTGACCTCCGAGAGCACTGCATGACATGGGTGTACTTATACACATGCAGGCAATATATTCATACAGATAAAAAAATAAAACAAAATATAAAACAGTTTAATCAGAGAAGCTAAGAAAACAATTTAAAACTGACACTTTGGATGCCTCAGTGCACTGGGAGTGGGGGGCGCTGAGTCAGAAGACGATATGCAAATGCAGACTCTGGAGAAGGCCAAATGAGTGACTGGAAACAAATATTGTTGCAACCTTATAACTTCTGCTTTAATGGCAATCAAGTTTAAAAAATGTACAGTTCACTTATCCACACTATTTATTCCTTTATAAAAGGCAGAATTCAGGTTAGCTTCTAGATGCATGCATGACGTCGAGGCGAGTATGTTCTGGCAGTCCTTGGTTCCTCAAGTTGAACTTCATCAGATAGGGTTTTAAACTTTCATCAAAATAGTCATGAAGGTATGTTATTTTTGCATAATGAGGTAATATCTCAGGGGTGGGCACTCACCGTAAGATAGTACAAATCCACTTGTCTAAACTTGCATGAGGCTGTGTACATTGTAAAATGCCACAGAATATTTTGGGTCAGTGAGTATTTGCTGAAAGAGTAACACTTACATTTAACTGAGCACTTTTCTGTAATAAATACCAAAGTAGGTTTCTGTAGCTGTAAACTGTGTACACAGGTAACTACGGGCTAACGTAAAGTTCGGCCTGGAGAACAGAACCCACCTGTGCTAATGTTGCATGTTCAGTAACACTACTGAGAATACTGCATTGTTAGGATGTCAGTTCTACGCCCTTGACAGCTGCTGCAGACAGTTCACTTGGAAAGCCAGCAGTTCCTAGACTCCTATTTTCTGTTTGCTTGTAAAACAGCATAGAGATGTAAGTGCTAGATGCCAAGGATGGCTTTGGCAAACCAGTAAGGTGCACCGGGTCCCGAGGCTACCCTAATACTGGTGCAAAGGCAGAAGACCACAGGATATTTACAATACATACTATATTCCCCTCCTGAGTGGCCCTTCCATGAGTTTCTTGCTCTATTACAGCAGCTATATACACGGTGTGCACAGGATTACATGGAGGCAGCGGTCTGGCATGAAGGGTGTGGATGAACTGAAGGCTCTGCTTCTTGCTAGTCAGACAGGATGTGAACAAAGGACACTGGAAAGACACCCTTCCTTTCAGGCTGTCCTTCGATGTGCCCAATCTGCAGGGAGAAAAGAATGGTTAAGCAGGTGAGAGCAGGCAGCTGTCCCGAGACAGGCATAGTTGGTAGGAGCCTGGTCTGGCATCTGCCTGTGGACCTACGGTGGCACCCAAGTTTACCCACCCAACCTTGGTGAACCACATAAGAGCTTGATGGTTAAAAAATATACAACAAAGCACCAGCACCCCAAGAGCAAGTGGCAGACCTTGCAGCTGTCAGCACTTCTGCACGACCTCAGGGCACCCCATGCCACCCAGAGATGGAACTGCTGAGGAAGGCCTCCCCAGGTCCCACTCCACGCCCACGCTCTGGTCAGCAGCCAGTCCATGGGTGGCCCCAGACAAACCTAGCTGTCTCCTATGTGTAAAACTGAACTTAAAAAAAAAATCCCTTCTTCTCAGTCTTGTGTGATTAGATTTTAAAAAGAAGAAAAACAGGGCCGGTGGCAGACTGCTGTGTCTTCTGGCCACTGTGTGATGGAGGCCCACAGCAATTTTATTGTATGCAGCACAAACCAGCAAGCCATGGTTCTGCACGGCTGTAAAAACTTTATCACCTCAATTAAATGTGTATTAATTTCACTGAAAGGCATCATATTGTGCATGAGCCACCAGCAGAAAGAATAACAACATGACCTGCACTGGCTTTAATGCCTGCCAAACACATAGAGAGGGTACCTTAGATAGCTGGGCAGAATTGGGACAGGCCAGCCCTCCTTTTCCCTCTGTGGAGTACTGCAGGAGGCTGTGGTGTGTGGTCAGGAGCTGTGCTCAGGCCTCCATGGAGACTGGTCTCCTCCTGGGGTAAGTGTGGTTAGCAGTAGGACCTCCCTACCCCCTCTCATGAACTGTACCTAGTTCTGGGCACTGATGGTTCCATGAGTGGCACATCAGTGTTAGGACATATTTACTGGGATGAGGGTAGGTTGATGGCCCACAGAATTTCCCTGGGGCAGGATACTAGAGACAGTAACAAAAATTCCCTCTTCTCCCAGGAGTCGTTGCTGGGATCATTGGTTCCTTAGCAATGAACATGACCATGGCTGGGTGTAAGGAGCAACATTAACAGATTACAAAGCGAATCCTTGTGAAGGATTGTGTCCCATTTTTCCAGAGGAAACAGGTTTATAGAATGGACACTCTTGATTCAAGGCCACAGGCCTCGTGGCTGACAGCAGTGGAGGACTTTGGAATCCATCTCTGTGTGACTGTCCTCAGCTGGCCTTCGACCAGCTGCACAATGGGCAAGGATCCAGTTCTGCCAACGAAGAGACTGGAAGCAGCCTGGGTACCTCCAGCTCATCCTGCCCAATCCAGCAGGGAGAGCCCTACACTCTAGTCTGGGCTGCTGGGCCTCCGCACTGCTGACACACTTTGTTGTGGGGCTCCCCTAAGCACTACAGGACGTCAGTGGCACCCCTGGCTTCTACCTGCTGGATGCCCATAGCACCATCTTTCCCAGATCCTGACCATTAGAATGTCTCCTGATAGCGTCCAAAGTCCCTGGAAGGTAAAAGTGGCCCCCGGTGAGTGTGCACATATGCAAGTAAGCAAATGTGTGTTTCTGGATGGTCGCTGCTTCTGTTGGCCCAACCTGACAACTGTGTAGAAGACATTCAGGCTGCTGAGGTCGAATTTCATGCTGATGCTGTGAAATGACCACCAAGGACTATATTCATGGACATTCATTTAATCTTCTAACATCACGTGAAGAAGCCACTGTGCTCCCTGTAGAGAGATCTGGGGACTGGCTTAAGGGCTGAGTCTGCATGGCACGTAGGCCTTTTGCCTCCTAGCCTGGAGAGTAAGGGAGGTGAGTGAGGCCTGACTTGGCATTAGCTACGTGGCCATGGCACTGTGCAACAAGTTCCTGAGCTTCAGTTTTGCATCTTAACAATTAGAAAACACAGACCACAAAGTTGTCATATGACACCACAGAGAAAGTGTACGTAAATGTCAATGAATTCTGCCTACTTTCAAACAATGTTGTCTTTTTATAGCATAAATCAGTGACAGGAAAAGAGCAAATGTGAACGACTATGTGGTGAGTTATGTACCTCACAGGATCTGTATGTCTTAGGGGCTCTCTCCCCATGCTGTCTGTCTGGGGTGTGGAGAACAGAGGAATGAATGGAATGGATAGACAGACATCCGTACGTACCCACCACTCCTGATCCTCTTCCCCTGTGACGATGATCACTTCTCCCTCAATGAATGTGAGCTCGTCGTCGTTGTCGGCCTGGCAGTCATAAATTGTCTTCACTCGCCTCACTTTATTTTTCCCCTTCAATATAGAAACTAAATGTTAGTAGAGAACAGACAGAAGGGGGAACCAGCACAGCACTCTTCTCAATGTGCTGACCTTGGGCAGGTGATTTCACTTCCCTGAGCCATGATTTCCTCAAGCATCAGGGCTGGGGTGGGGGAGACTGACACACTGCAGGGCACTGTGTGCTCCAGGAATGACAGTCCCTCCTTCTCTGGCTAGCATCCGAGGCAACTTTCAGCAGAAGGGATCACAATTCAGCTTCCCCGAAATGCAAGGCAAGCCCCGCCCATCTGCATCTCCCCACAGCATCAGCATGCAGAAATGACAGCAGAGGCTAAAAATGTTTTTAGGAAACACGATGCAGAGGAAAATGTGCAACTTCTGCATGTTGAATATGCAGCATAGACAGATTTCTCAGTGCTGTGTGCAGAACAGGTCAGGACAAGCTGGTAAAACCCAAGGAATAGCCTGGGTACAAAACAGTTGTGACTTTTTTTTTTTTGAGACAAGGTCTTCCTGTAGCCCTGCTGACCTCACAGAGATCCGCCCATTTCTGCCTTGCTAGTACTGGGACTAAAGGCATGTGCCAACCATGCCTGGCTAACAGTTGTGATTTCTGACCAGGACTTTTATTGTATGGCCGCCTAGTTCTCTGCAAACAGGAAGCTGGCATCAGAGACAGTATCTTCCAAGGAATACTTTCAGCACTCGGTTAATCAGATCATTAGCAATAAATACGGTAACTTTTCTTTAAGTGTTCTGGACCCAGTGTCTTTTCCTCTCTGCATCTGGCTTCTCCCTGGATCTCCTGATGATCCTACTTCCTTCCTGAGCTCCTGGGGCTGCTGGTGAGGCTGGAGGCTTGGCAGAACCAGGTAGCAACAGGTTTCATTCAGTACTGGCTAACCTAGAAGGCCCATAATGCATTTTTTATAATGGTGAAGACTAAGTGAGACAGTATCACTAATGCAGGCTGGATGAATCAAAATTCAGTGTATATCAGAAGCCCAGTGAGGCTGTCAGTGGTGCTGAGAAGTACGGGGAGCGACAACCATAGTGGTCTTGAATCCACGGCAAGACAGGTTATTTTTACCTTTCCTGTAGTGCTGATGGAACACTTTTATCACAGCATTGTTACAACGGAATGTGATGGAGTAGCTGTCAGATATGGGGGGCAGGGGGGAGGAGGACCTTTGGTCCCCCTCCTTAATCTGGGGCACTTGTGCCCTGTGGGGGCACAGAATGGACTGTGTGTTACATCTTTCCAAGTACCACACTTTCCCAAAGACTGTGGGGGTTTAAAAAAAATTCCATGTTAGCCAGGCATGGTGGTGCATGCCTGTAGTCCCAGCACTTGGAAAGCAGAGGCAGGCGGATCTCTGTAATTCAAGGCCAGCATGGTCTACATAGTGAGTTCCAGGACAGCCGGGGCTACAGGGAGACCCTGCTTCAAAAGGACAAAAAACAAACAAAAAAATTCCTACATTAAAATAAAGCTGATGTAGTATAGGGTGGGACGCAGTCCACAGTAAGTTTTGACCTCTGCAAAACCCCATCTGGAGTTCCTGGGCTTTCACTCTGGTTCCTCCAGAAAGATATGGTCAGAGACAGACTTAGAAGCTACACAGAATTCAGGAGGGGACTGGTCTTAGGAGAGGGTTAAGTTCTACCCTCAAGGTTCCTAGATCAGAGACAGCATGGCCAAGTGTTTGTGATGTGCCCACTATGCACAGTTCATTGGCTACTGCACTGAAGTGTGAGCTCACGACACATTAGCCCTACGTGGCCTGAAGAGTCAGGCTCTGTGCAGACAAGTACACTGTTAGCTGGGCAGATGCATCAGGCACCAAAACCAGGCTCTGAAGCCTGCCTGAAGCCTAGTGTCCAAAGGCTGTGTGATGCCCACCCAGCTCCGCTCCCCAGTTCAACCAGTGGGAGAACAGCCAGCTCAGTGATAAGGGCCACCGTTTTCTTACTAGGGTGGGACATATGCCTTCCCACCACCTTCTGAAGTGGAGCAGAATCTAGGGCTGTAGCTCAGTGCTAAGAGCGTGAAGCAAACACAAGGCTCTGGGTTCAATCCCCAGCAGCACCGAAGAAAAGCGAAATGTCTTGCTGAAGCCTGACAGTGGTGCCACCCACCGTATTGATTTTTCTGGGCAGTGGTACAGGTGTCTCAGGCAGTGTGGGCGTGAGGTCATTGGAGTCTTCAGACACTTGCTTCTGGATGGCATCTCTGGACTGCACATTTGGGGATAGATCCCCTGTGTGTGACTTTTGTGTTACCTCTGAGGGCAGCTGCACCTTGGAGGAAATGTCGCTGGCCTGTGACTTTGCCAACAGGTCTCCCAGTTGTGGTTTGGGGGGCAGGTCCTTCATCTGTGGTTTGGGAGGTAAGTCTGAGAGCTGTGGCTTGGGGGGAAGGTCACCCAGTTGGGGCTTAGGGGGCAGTTCTCCGGGTTTAGGTGGCAACTCTCCAGTTTGGGGCTTAGGGGCCAGTTCCGTGGGCTTTGGGGGTAGGTCTCCAGGTGGTGGCTTTTGGGGTAACTCCGCCAATTGTGATGATTTCTGAAAAGTCTCGGGTGGGACACTGGCTTTGTCAAGAGAGAGATGATGGCTTGTTTCTGTCTTCCTTAGTGCCACTGTGGGAAACAATCAGAGAGAGGAGGTCACGGCACAGACCACAAGTGGAGGGGCACCAAGACAGGAAAAAGGCCAAGCCCCTTCAAGAGTGCTGACCTGCAGTGAGTGTGTGTGGGGGGTAGGCAAGTCCAGAGCAGAGGCAGGCCAGGCCAGGCCAGGCCAAAGCTGGAAGCCAGGAAAGCACCTGTATCACAACTCACAGCTCTGTGCTTCAGTTATGTCAGAGAAGATGACCAGAGCAGGCCAGAATTTTAAAAGTACACAATATGATTTACAAAAAGAAAACTTGCCTGCAAACTTACCAACTAAATTTAGTCATTTAAATATTTTAATGTATTTCCTTCTTGATTTATCTATTTTCTATAGGTATAACTTTCCTATATACAGTTTTAGTAAAAGCATTTGATGGGTTATTTAAATTCTTTATTAGAAGTACAAACAATTTTTAAAGGGGCACACTATTCAATTCTACAGCTGTATCATAACTTATTTCCCTACTTTATATGATTCATGACGTACTGGTAAGTTTCTTCTGTTATCCACCCACCTCCAAGGCATTCTCTGTTAGCATGTGGAGACACACAAGGACTGATGAACATAATCACATATGCTGGTGTAACATACATGTCTGAAACTTTTTTTTTCCTGCTTAATATGCTTGCGAGAGTTTCTAAGTCAATTTGCCTTTTCTGTCCAACAGCTGCACTCTGCCCCATGGCTGGCCAGGCCAGTCTGTGGAACCATGCCTGCAATACTTTCTTCTTCTTTGAGACAGGGTCTTCTCACTATGTATCCCTGACTGGCCTGGAACTTGCATTGCAGACCAGGCTAGCTTGAACTCAAAAGAGATTCTCATGCCTCTGCCTCCTGAGTGGAATGCTAGGATTATAGGTGTGTGCTACCATGCTTGATTTCCATAACACTTTGTACAATTCTGATGTGTAGCACTGTGGCATTTAGGACATGGCTCGAATTCTAGCTCAAACACAAGTCTTGAATTCTAGTTCAACCACCTATTGTGTCACTGTGTGACCTTGGGCAAATTATACAACCTCTGGACTTCAAATTCCTCACCTCTAAAACTCACGACAGTCTATGCAAAGAACTTCCTGCCAGGACCTGACAAGCTGTCACTATTCTACAGGAGTAGCATTATCAGTACTATTAAACTATTACTTGAGGCCAAGTGAGAGCTCTAACTTCACAGCTCTTGGAATGGGAGCTGAGGAGCACCAACAAAGGGATGTGTTCAGAAAAGCAGCCGTACAAGGGAGGCCAGGGAGCAGGGGAAGCCTTGGCGCTGTCCTCTGGCACAGCTGAGCCGGCGCTGCTTCTGCTGACTGTCCAGCCACACCCAGTCTAAGGAAACGAAGCTCAAGGTATCCTGCTCATGGGCCCACCTTTGAGCTCCAGCTGATGTGGCCTGGCTTAAAAAGTAATGCCAGACCAATCATGTGCTTCTCTTGGAAATATGGAACTGAACAATTTAAGACTCTGAGGAAGGCAGCAAGGAGGGAAAAGCTGGGGATTCCCTCAAGAAGCAGGGCTGGGAAGACCTTGCTGTGAGTTTCTGTTCCCCTGTAAGTGGGACTAAGTGCTGGGTACCTATAACTCCCAAATATGTGAGCCCTTGTCTTGCAGCATAACCATAAAATTTCATCCTAAAAACAATCACAAGTGGCCCACGACAGTGACGTGTGGTGCCCTACCGCCCTGAGGATAAGCTAAGGAGGGAGGTAGCAAGGAAGTGGTGAAGGATGGGGGCAGGGTGCTTTGAGAATGCCAGGGTGGCAACCAGAAGCTGAGACAACAGGCCTGGGTGAGAAGAGCAGGCAAGTGTGGCCAAAGTGTGCTATGGAAACCAGGCCGAGGCTGAGCCCAGGCCAGTGGCCCATGGAGGACTGGGGAAGAGGATTGAGGAATGATCTCGGCCCTGAGCGCGAGCAACTGCAAACTTCTCACTCAATGGAGTGAGATACTTTTGCCGAAGCTTGAACCTGCATCTCATTAGGCCTCTGGGTCCTGCCAGCTGAGGACAGAGGGACAAGAGAATGCAAGATCCAGATGCAGATCTAGGATGCAAGAGCTGTGGGATACTGAAGCCAGTTTCAACAAAAGGAAGGGGATTCAGGCGCAGTAGTTTACGCATCATCTGAGCATCTCTCAAAGCTCCAAATGGGAAAATACCACCTTAGTGGTAGTACAGATGAGATAAAGTCAGCAGGCAGGAGCCACCGTGATGAGATCCTCATGGGTTTTATAAGAAAAGGGCACATGTTGGGTATAGTGGCAGCACACTTCCTGCACTCACGAGGCAGAGGCTGGTGATCTCAGCCTGATCTACATGGCAAATTGCAGGTCAGCCAGGGCCACATAGTGAGACCCTATCTCAAAAAAACCAAAAATGAAGAAAGGACAGACAGACATACACCCCTGTCTCTAACCATGTGATGGCCCAAGCCATCTTGGCATGCAGCTCCTAGACCTCATATTCCAGAATGCTGAGCCCAAAGTAAATTTTTCTTCAAAAAGCTACCCAGCCTCAGAAATTTTAGTATAGTAATGAAACAAATAAAATAGAGAAACTCTGATCTAAACTACTTTAAGAGACAGACCAACTGTAACGTGCGGACCTTAAAAGATTCTTAGGAAAATAATTTGCCGAAATCCCCCACTTATGAGACAAGTGATATGAAGGAACTTTGGATTTTTTTTAGATGTGATTTTCTGACTGGATTGCAGCTGTGTGAATTCATGTGATGTTTGGCATCTGGGAGGTAGGGAATCAGACAGAAGTATCCCGTAAAACTCATCATGTCAATGGTTGATGAGTACACACCTCACAAAGCTGCACTACAATTTTATTTTTCAAATTTTTAGGTTTGTGGGAAATTTCAAATAGTGAAAATGTTCACACAGAGGAAGAAGAGGTAGGGAGTGGAGTACAGGAAGAGGTATACAGGTCAGGTCTGGTCACCTGGTAGCCTATGTCCTTATACCCTACTGAAGTAGTGTCCTCTCAAGTAGGGGACACCTGTGGGGAGGACTGGGCAGCGGTATGGAACTACATGAAGTCATGGTCAGAGGAGAGTGACTGTCACCCTGATTCTCCTTGTAGACCTTGCCCCTCCACTAGAACAGGCCCGGGGCAGTCACTGAGCACAGAGCAGGCAGAATGTCAGGAAGAGCCTTTCCTGTTGGGCTCATGTTGGGTCAGGAGGATGGGGACGGTGTGAAGGGCTAAGAACAGGTGGCAGGAGCTGCAGGTGGGTCCCAGTGGGGATGAAGAATCCTTTGGGCTTGAGTCTGGAGGAAGCAAGCTGAGAGGCAGGTGGAGGGATTCAGTGGTAATATGTGAGAGACAGAGGGTGAAGTCCAGGGCAGCATTAGGGAAACTCATCTCTGAGACCCAAATAGCACTTGAAGCAATCTGAAAATCACCAGCACGACTCCAATCCAGCCTAGACAGAGACCTGGCAGGCTCCATAAGACAGAGACTCCTGGGACTCTGCTACATGAGTCTGGTCCCATCCCAGAGGTACCACACCTCACTGAAGAACTTAAGAGTGGTGCATCCCGAAGTCCCCATGTTAATCTCTAGTCTGCCTTCTACTCGAGGTCATCTATGGAGTACTGGGCCAGACTGGAGTTCTGCTGGGGACACTGACTGTGAGCACTGACAATCTGGAGCAGTCAGAGCTCCTTTGAGCATCTGTCCAGATCTAACACAGGCCCCACGGCCCGAGGCTCTGATGAGGATGGAATGAAGGAGGTGACTGGACCAGGGCTTCATGACTCTAAAGCCAAGCGGAGCTTTCTCTGTGTGCTCACTTGTGTTATAATAAGTGACCGAAATTTTCATTTTACAGATGAAAAGCGTGGTCAGGATTTCAGATCTGGGCAAAGAGCCGAGTGTCTGCTTGGCAAAGCAGCAGTGCTGTGGACACTATGTTCTTGTGCTTCACAGGGCACAGGTGTCCCTGCTCTGCACGACAGATGCTACACCAGGAAAGGGTGCTTTGCCACTGACTGGGAGGGGCCACCTGAAGCATGAATTCACTCTGTCCTCATAAAACCTTAGTGTCACAGATGAGGGATCCAGGCCAGCAAATCTACCAAGTCACTTGCCCAGAGTCACACAGCTCATGAGTGGAAAAGCTGGTGCTGGTTTCTAAGTCTCTCTGGTCATGTTTTCTATATGAGAGAATGATTCTGAGGGTTACAGTAATGTGAAAAAGTACTACTTTATTAAGAAAACTGCGACATCTGCTACTGAGATATTTAGAGTTTGTTTTTATTTAGGAAATATTTATAGGGCACCTACTATATACACTAGTTACTGCTCTAGACATCTGGGACAGGGCAATGAACAAAAGAGAGAGATAGCACTCTCTTCCCTGGGAGAGACAGTTTCACTTTAGTAACATGAAAAGGATACATCTTACCTTTCTGAGGTAGTTTAGGAAGTACTCTTGGGCCAAGGGCAGTCTTCGCAGAACTAGTGCTAATTAATAAATAACAGTTATTTAGCATCTAAAACTGTTATCAATAGTAATCTATAATACAAGCTGATCAAAGGCATTTTCAGAATTATCTAAAGAATCTTTCCAAAATTTCTTTCATGGGGCTGGTGAGACAGCTCAGTGGGTAAAGGTGCTTGCTACACAAGGTTGACGCAGGTTCAATCACAAGAACCCATGGAAAGGCAGAAGGAGAGAACTTATGCTACAAAAGTCCTCTGACCTCAATACACCTGCTGTGTGGCACGTACCCCTCCAATAATGTATGTGCATGCTGATCTGGCTGGGGAAACACAGGTAAGGAAAAGCCAAAGTCTTCCTTTCAAAGCTCTGTTCTGAGGCGACCAAGTATGAAGCGCCTGGCACTCTGCATGCTGTGGCCCTGAGGGAGCACACAGATGTGGCTAGCACGAAGATGTGGTTCACACCTCCCTTCAGACAAGGGCACTGAGATGTGAATGTCAGCAGTAGCAGAAGGCCCCTTGGACAACCACAGCCAGTGGTAGAGATGGGCAGTCAGCTCTGTGGGTCCCAAGCTTTCCATTTCCTCCTCTACACTAAGACAGACTGGGTTCTCAGGCATCCAAGCCTGACCCGCCCATGGCCTCCCCTAGGACCTGCAAATGATCAGGGGGAAGAAACACCCAAGTCCCTGGAGCACAAGTCTGCAACATGTTGAATAATGAAATGCGACATCTGTTAGCTGGAAGTCACTACTTCCCTTTCACAAGAGGCTGGAATGATCCTTGGAGGACACCAGGAACAAGAGCCATCAAGTGCCTGAGCTGTACCTGTGAGAAATCCTTTTGGATTTGAGGCCTCCTTCCCTGTCCTCTGATGTCCCAAGCGCTCGTGACCTTTTTTTCCTACCTACCCACCCACCAGACAAAAGGCATCAAAGACAGACGTGACTCATGTTCCCTTTTTCTGCTCGGCCTTGGATGTCCTGAATCTGCCTGTTCTCTCTTCAGCTGGCAATTTAACTTTCCACCCTTGGGGGCGGGAGACAACCTTGTTCAGGGGAAGTCACTGGGACATGGAAAACAGAGGGTTTGGTTCCCCTTCTTGGACTGTGTTTCTCGTGTTCTGCCTTTGCATCTTCTCAGGGAAGGACAACTACCTACGACTGGTGTGAACATGGTCCAGTCACTCCTGGCCACATTGGTAAGGCCAAGGCCTAGCGAATCAGAGAGTCCTTACAGGAAGCACTGCATGTGCCTGGGCATCGTCTTGTGAGATGTAAACACAAGGCCGCCATGGCTGGTGGTATGGGCATATGTGGCAGGTGGAGGGCCAAGATCTCAAGGACTGGCCAAATGGCCCTAGTTTACAAACAGCTTGATCCTGTTACCACATACTTCACGAGCAGCACTTTCTATGTGTCACTCTCTGCTCTCTACAGATGACCAGTTGAACTCAGCTTCATGAAGTCCCCCCAAAGCAGGGCTGAAGGAAGACGGAATGAGAATCAAAGCAGACTGAGGGTAAGTGGAGGAGTGGAGAGCCAGCTGTGGTATCTGTGAGGTTCTGAAACAGAACCATGATAAGTGGACCAACTGCACTGGGTTATAGAGATTAAATAAGACAATTCTAAAAGAAATGAGATTTTCTTTTTTAATCTTGGATATAAACTCTGGAAACTAGCCCTCCCCACTCTAAGCTGATTCTTCCTGAGGTTTGGAAGTGGCTCTGTGTCATGATCTCAAATTATACCTCTACAGAAACCTTTGTGGTAGGCCTGGGTAAATACTGCCCTTAGACCTCCCAACGCACCTCACTTCAGTGAGAGGCGGGGAGAAAGGAGTATTGCTTTTAACTAAACAAAACACCCATGAAACCCCTAACAAAAATAATTTACAAACAGAGGGTACCCAGGAAGTATCTCGTTTTTATGTTAAAAAATATCTGGACTTTAAGAAAACACTCAGTTAAAAGACAGAAATTGAACTGTGTTGGTACACGCCTGTGATTCCAACTTTTGGGAGGCTGAGACAGTAGGATTGATGTGAGTTCAAGATCAACATAGGCTACAATGTGAGACTGTTTAAAAAAAAAACAAAACCAAAGGCGGCTCATTCTGACAGTGTTGTTCAGACAACTGTAGGCCTTCGTGGCCAGCAGGTCTGCGCCAGGCAGGGGTGGTCCACTGGGGACCAGCAGGGAGGTCTCATGTAGATTGAGTGTGGACATTCAATTTCTCCTAACTGGTGTTACTGGCTGATGACAATGAGGAGGGCTGCGAGAGCAGGTAAAGCCCATCTGTAATCCTGTCCACAACAGGAGAGAAGGACGGGGTGGTGGCTCACCTTGCCTGCTGAGAAAGCCCCTCAAACTTGTTCGCAGTCTTACTTGAAGATGTTGGGCCCACATCGTTACCTATAAGGAAAGTCAAAAGTCAAAAGTTACACCTTCAGATGCAGACAGGAGCAAGGGGTTTTGGCAAACAGACTGGGATCCCGCAGATTCCAGGAAGGCACCAAAAGACCTCAGACAGAACAGTATGCACTTCCTGCATTAAAACACAGCAATGTATCAAGTGGTGTTTTGGACACAGTGGTTTTTTTTTTTTTTTTTTTTGTCTTTTTGAGGCAGGGTCTCCCTGTAGCCCCAGCTGTCCTGGAACTATGTGGACCAGGCTGGCCTTGAACTCACAGAGGTCCACCTGCCTCTGCCTCCCAAGTGCTGGGATTAAAGGCGTGCGCCACCACGCCTGGCCCAGACACAGTGTTTTTACTGTTAGCCAAGGAATATGGGGTCAGAGGTGAACAGCCAGCCTTGTGATAGGCTGCTAAAACTGTAGGAACTTGCTGATGTCCAAGTGGCTCAGGATCTGGTCCTTGGCCTGGAAGCATGGGAAAAACCAGTGAAATGTCAAGTTCACCCAGCAGCTGCCATTCTGAGAAACTGTGCCCTGGTAACCAGACTCAGGTGACACCCCAAGTCACAAGTGTGGGCATGTGTGCAGGCAGGGTGCAGGGTACAGATACCAAGCCATTACCTTGGGCACTTGCGCAGCTGGAATCCACACAATGTTAACACTAATTCAGCGCCTACTGTGTGCAAGGCATTAATGCAGAGGAGCACAAAAGCTTAAAAAGATACCACTCTCCTCATCGTTCAGGATTTGGGTTAAGGGACTTACATTAAGGAATGATTTAATACTGTGGAACGAGACAGAATCATGTCGGCCACTATGAAAATGAAAAGGAAACAGTGTCCAAAATCCAACTACTGAGAAGAGATGCGGCAACTGAACAAGCAAAATTTTCTAGTGGGGCAGCGTCAAAATCAGAGGCAGACAGGAGGACGGAAGTGTGCTTGGTGCAGGTGAAGGCCAGAAGCCTGCTTAGAACACAGGTAGGCTTTGCTGGGACCACTGCAGCATGGGAGGCACGTAGGGTAGAGCTGGGCCTCCCGGTTCTGGGAGGAATTAGGGGTTGAGGAAGTAAAGGAGCTACTCCCCATTCCATGACTGGGCCCACGCAGCAGCCCCACTAGGTGCTAAACGTGCTCCCATCTGTTGGCTGCTATTCTGCAAAACATGAGGAACAGATATCATAACCCCCCTTAAAGGTAAGGAAATGACACTAAAAGTCTGAATGACTGCAGGTCCCATAGCTAAATAAACCCATGGGTCCCGCCCACAAAGCCGTGTGTACTACACTACCCATCACACTGTCCCAACAGCAACACAAGTAGCAGCACCTCCATTTACTGAGCACTTACTACAAACATGTTATCTGTCAAGTACTCCTGGGTAAATATGTTCATGAGAAAGTGTAACTGCTTCTTCCAATGTATGGATGATGAAACAAAGAACAAGAGCCACTTGCCGGAGGGAAAGCAGCAGGTGAGGGTCAGCGCGGGCTACAAAGCCAGTAGCCTACTCGAGAGTCTGTACTCTGACCTACCAAGCACCTCTCATTCCCAACACAGCTCTCACTGGGAAGAGGCTGCCAGGGCTGCGACTAGAGCTCCTGGGCAGAATGAACTGGAATGCCAAGACATCCAGACAAGCAGCAAACTGGCCCACTGTTGTTGGTGCCACTTCTGTTTTGCTGTACTGAGATACTCTTAATCCGCATCTCCATGCACACACAGCCTAATGCCGAGGACATCCCCAGCACCTCTCCTGAAACCAAGTGGTGGTATCCTTTAAGGAAGGATTTCCTCAGCACTGCTCCATGCTGACTCTACAGTTCTGGATAATAAATGCAGAACTTCTAGACTTATATGAATCATAATAATCGGAATCATGGTGGGGGGCTGTTACTTCCACTATTTCCCTTTCTAGACAAGTGACTATTAGTTATGCATGAGGGAATTCAAGAACAGCAAGCAAAGGCCCTTGGTTATGCTGTGGTCTTCTTGGCCGTCAGGCAGGGGAGCACTGGGGAGGTGCTGTACCCACACCTACAGGCCTGGATGTTGAGTTTTCACTTAATCTCCCTCTCCGGTCACTCAAGGTGACTTGCCATTCTCCAAAGAAAATGTTTTTATGTTTCTAAACGCTATTTTTTCAACCACAATGCCTGTCCCCTCCCATACCTGGTGAATCCCTGCATAACACTTAAAGAACAGCTCTTAAGTCACTTTCTGAGAATTTGCTTTGGTCCCCCAAGTCCTTTCTGGGAAGGGGTCAAGGGTACAGATTTGGGAGGCATACAAGCCCAGCTCTGAATTCCAGGTGGACCACCGATCTGGGCTGAGCCTGGAGGATATTGCTTACTCTCCTCCATCTCCTTGGGTAGACAGTGGGAGTAACATTGTGCCACTACAATAGACGGGGGTGAACACTGAGAGATAAGCTGTGGGTTGTGGAGCACAGTGCTGGTGTGCAGGAAGCATGACACAAGTGGTAACTATTCTCACAGCCTTCTGATGGAATGTGACAGAACAATCCTGACATCCCCAAGCCAGTAACTCTCCTCCCTTACCACTGTAACCCTACATCCTGCAAGGTACCTGGCATAGTAGTCAACAGGCTGCAGAAAGAGAGGACCACGAGCAGGCTAACTCACCCCTTAACTTCTCTGCCACAGTGTGACTTCTCATAGCTGTATGGGAAGCCACCGGTGGTGGACTGACAAGACTGTCTCACTCTAGGCAAAGGCTACCTGTCGCGACAGGTAGGAGAAACATGGTTTAGAAAAAACCCTGAAAATATGACAGCAGTACAAAAAGGCGGCACAAAAACTACCAGAGCAGCTTAATCCACCCCTCTCTCACTGTGCGACTTGGGAAAGTCCTTGGCATGTCACATACAGGCAGTCAGAGGGTTGGAGACCAAGACATTGTGGTCACTTCTCTTGTTCACTTATTCAGCTCAAAAGCCATGGGCTGAGGTTTTGTGGAAAAAGCACAGAGCATCAGCTAAGCCATGAGCAGCATGCAAGCTGCAGGAATCTCTTGGAACAGTGAAGCAGGATATATAGGCTGTGGAGTGAGAAATGGGTTCAAAGCTGGTTACTGGGCCTGAGACCTTATGCAAGTCATTTAACATCTCTGTGCTTATTTCTTCACCAGTGAACCGTAGATGGTGACGTCCTATCTTGCAGGATGAATGTAAAGGCTCAATACAGAAATATGACAAAAACTGACCTGCTTTATAGCTGAAAAGCACATGATCTTAAGTCTTAGCGGTTGAGATGATTCCTGGTAAAGCACAGGCTCCTGGAATGTCTGTTCTGAGCACCCGGCTCTCCCATGGTGCACGCAGCAAGCACTTCTCTAAATGCTGAAGGGAAGGGTCCCAGGACAGTGCACTGGAGCATTATCCCAAGACTCTCAAGTGTGATTAATCATAGACCTTTGGTAAACAAGTCAACTGGCTATATTTTTTCCTTTACTCCTTCCTGGGAGGCCCTCAGAGTCAATAAACAGTCCATTTCCGGCTATGGTGTATGACCTGATGTTCAGGATTCTGAGAGGAGTCTGCGGCCCTCCTTGCTATCTTTACTCTCCCTATATCACTTCCTTATGGCTTAAACAGATGTGTTAAAAATACATGCTGCTCTGTTTTGAAGTAGGCAATTTTTTTTTTTTTCTGTCTTTTTGAGACAGGGTCTCCCTGTAGTTCCAGCTGACCTGAACTCACCATGTAGACCAGGCTGGCCTTGAACTCACTAGGATCGCCTTCCTCTGCCTCCCGAGTACTGGGATCAAAGGTGTTTGTCACCACGCCCAGCTTTTGAAGTAGGCAATTTAAAAAGGAGGTTTAATGAAATGTCACTTCAAAAGTTATGAAGGTCCAACAAATTTGCCCACCAGGCCCTTCATTTTCTTGTCAAAAGCCTGCCTTAGAAGTCTCCCGAGACAGATGGCTAAATTCATCATGGGAGCAGTCATATGATGCCTAGGCTATTCTGGGTACTGTGGACACTGTACTTCTGGCAGGGGAGAGCCTAGAAAGGCCCTCATCATTCAGACAAGGCTAGAACCACACACCAGAGTGGACTGCAACAAAGGACAAAGAGACAGCCAGTGAGGGGGTCTGTGCTGGACTGGGTCATCTCTGTCAAGTATAGCATCTTCTCCACAGCTCTACTTCACAGGCACACGGGCAACCAAGGCAAGGACAGAAAGCCAGAAGACACACTCTCCTGCCCTTTCAGAGCCATTACATGCAACAGAAGGCAGTGTGTACACAGGGCAAGAAGCTGGCTTTGGTAACACCGGCTGAGAGACAAACTCTGGCTCCCCATGTGCCAGCTGTGAGGACTACGGCAAGTTACTTAAGTGCCTAGTCCAGTGTCCTTAAAGTCCAGGAAGCAGCATGTCCTATTCTGTGGACTGTGGTCAAGAATCAGCTATGATAACAAATGTCAAGTCATAAGCTGGACTGGGGGAAGACAGTGCTTTGTCATAAAGGAGGGGTGCCCTTCAGAGGAGTGGCATTACAGATTAAGCCCTCCTTCTTGCAGTCATGCCAATGGCTGGTTTAATGAGTGGCTCTATTTTTGTCCTTTGTGCCTTCCTGTGAGACCCTTAGAGTCAAATTCATGGTCCATTTCCAGCCATGATGTATGTATGACCTGATGTTTAGGATTCTGAGCTCATGACGCTGAACTTTTTTTTTTTAACTTTTACAAAAACTTTACTGAGAATTTCACACATGCATATTAAGGTGTTTGATCAAATCCATGCCCACTCCCTCCCCTCCAACACCTCCCATATCTCCCCATCCCTTTTTTCTTTTTTTTTTCCCTTCTTTCATTTATTTATTTTTATGGGACTTTTGGGTACTCTAACATTCCCCCCTCCGAAGAGGTAACCCTAAAATCTTTTAAAGATTAGATAAAAGCTCCCAAATACTTTTGACATTTTTGGCCTTTGAACAGAGTATGTTGCTAACGGTCCTAAGGACATTTTGACTT